CAAGTTGACGGGGAAGTTCCATCTGAATTTTAATGAAAAACTCACCAGGGACGGATCCTAGGGTCTTGCACCCCTTTTTCCCTACCGCCGAGTCTCTCGAGAGGATTTTCAGCTCACCAGTATTTTGATTGGCTCCGCGTTGCGGGTGTGCAGTTACAAACACTCAAACCTTTTTCTATATTCTAATCAAACTTGCCGCAGCCACTAACACTATACCCATGAGTGCAGCATTCAAAAAATGCCTACCGCATGCTTAGCGTTACCAGATATATCGAATTTCAGTGCAGTGTTCATCTTCAATGTATTATGTAAAGAATCGATGCAAATTTTACTATTGCAAGCATTTTGTTAATTATCCATAGTATTATGCTGTGCCGCTGTGATAGATTTTGCGTTACCTAGTTTACACCCCAAAGATACCAGTAATTTTAGAAGTTATATGCTCGAGGTTCTTAAAGCTAGACTCAAGACCACTGTATTTGAGTTAATGCTTTCACACTGAAGTCTCTTTAATAATGAGACGACTGATTTTTTTTAGCAAAGAGAGAAACGGAAATTGTGCAGTTAACCACCTTTAAGTGCAGTATCATTTTCAGTTAGAGACTTACGAAATGATGAACAAAAGTTATATCCCGTGAGGATATGCTGTTGCAGCTTTCCGTTTCAATACAGAACGTGATTATTTGTAAGAAATTTTTCCTTTCTTACCGCCTGTCTTTGTGGTTTAACTGGAAGATGTTCGGCTAGCAGTTGGGGAGGTCCGAAGCTCAAATCCTAGAAGGTCACAACAGGTTTATCACGTTTCCTGCAGCAAAAAAAGTCTAATGACCCTAAATGTTTATCTTTGTAAAGAACCTACCATGTTTATAGTATATTTAGCAAATTATTGAATTTCTTCTAGGATGATTTAACTTTTACGAACTAGCTGACCATTTTGAATTGCTTCCGATTTTAGTCATTGAATGTTTTTAGCGAGTTTTAATGTTTCTGAGTGAAATTTTAAAGTTTAAAATCCGTTTTGAATTCTTTCTCTGTGTGATATGTGTTTCTACAGACTTGAGAATAATCTTATATTAACACGGTTGCTGGGATGAAAGCTTTTTGTGAATTTTTGAGAGAATTATGTTAATTTTAATAAAAAATGAATAACTTGAATAAAATATAAAAATATATGTTTAGGATTACTTGTTCTAAAATGTACCTCTTTGAAGTATTGCCAAATTACACTCATGTCCATAAATTAAGGATCATGCAAGATGAGGCAAAGGAAGAGTTAGAAGCAAAACAAATTTGACTTATTTGTAAAGCTTATTTATTAAACAAAAGGTAAAGAGCAAAAAAAAAGATGCTATATGTTTGATATTATTAAAAAAAATAGCGATTTTTTCTCCCTGGAGCAAATTACAAAAAAAAACCTATTTACAAAAAACCAATATTACATGGTTGGTATGATTGTTAATGCATTGTATGTCTCCCAAACGATGCAATACAGTCCGTACAACTCCTAGGCATGCTGAGTATCAAATTATCGATCTAATCTTGGGGGGATATTACACTACTCAAAAAGCAATGCTCTCCGAAGTTCCGGTAGACATGTAGGAGGAGGTTGACGGGCTGCAACTCGTCGGCCAAGCATGTCCCACAAGTGCTTTACTGGATTCAAGTCCGGTGAGAATGCTGGCCAGTCCATACGGGTGATATCCTCCGATTGAAGGCATTCGCTTACGATGTTTGCACGGTGAGGACGGGCGTTGTCATCCATAAACACAAATTGTGCTCTCATGGCGCCCCGAAACAAACGTACATGTTGTTCCAGAATGACGTCCCGATAGATTTGCCTTGTCATGGTTCCAATTTGAACATGCAGGTCAGTTCTCGAACCCAGAATAATTCCACCCCAAACGAGCACTCCTGCACCACCGTAACGGTATCGTTCAATGATGTTTTCTTGGTGGTAACGGGTACCTGGAGCTCTCCATATGAAAGTCCGGCGAGAATCGGACTGCAAGCTAAACCTGGACTCGTCGGAAAACATCACACAAGCCCACTGTTGCGTTGTCCACAATGCATGCTCTCTACTTCACTTCAGGCTAACCGCAGGCGACAGTGAGTTGCAGTAAGTGGAACGCATCTGACAGGTCTATGAGCATATAGACCAATCTGCCCTAAGCGTCTGTACACGGTCTGCTGCCTTGAAAATTGTCGTACCAGTGGCTGAAGAAAGCTGACGAGACAGGCCTGAGGCTGTGCTCCGCCTGTTTCTTTTGGCAGTAACTGCCAAATACCGGTCCTCATTCGGCGTTGTAACTCTGGGGCGACCTGTGCTGTAACGTCTACTCACATTACCATCATCTTGGAATCGTTGCTAAAGCCTGGAGACGACACTCTGGGCAATTCCAAGTTCGTCTGATACTTCCAGTTGGGTACGCCCACATCCCAGACGCGGCCGATAATTCTCCACTTAAAAAATCATCCGAATGCGCCCTTTGTGTCATAACTATTCGGTTATTGCACTGAAGTGCTTATAAAGCGCCTGCGAACAATTTTACTTCTTTGCCTGTATTCCTTATATATCACTCTCTTACACTCTCGTCATTGTGACGTACCATCGGTGTCATCTGGTTACTTCCTGAAATTGCATATGATTCTTGAAGATGTGTGTAATGATTTTATAGGTGATATATTTATTTAAGAGTTCGATTTCCGCGTGACTCCGAATTATCCTTAATTTATGGACATGAGTGTAAACTAAAACTTTAGTTAAGAGCACGCATCCGAAAACAGCAATCAATTAGAAATAGGTCCTGGAAACCGTAACTTCGAATGACTGACTAATTCAGGTATGACTTAAACGAATTTTTGTTATTTTGCATTTAATTTTAAATACTCAACATATAATAATCAATGATTTTCATTCATTCTAATGGTAAATAATAGGTATTTATTTTAAAATTAATTTCCTATTACATCTGATTGCAAGTGAAAGAAAATACTCAGGCATGGTTCAAAATTTAAGTAGTACTATATTGTCTAAAATTTTAATTAAAAACATCCCAAACAATTTTCATTTATTGTAGGACAGGTGAATGAAGAAAATTTGATGTTCTCAGATTTATTTTATATATCTTTACAAAATCGAACCTCAGTGTGTTTAATACAATAAGTTGTTTCATACAATAAGTTAATATATAAAAAGATTATTTTTATTCTGTTATTTCAGCCTGTTGGGGAAATCAAAATTTAAGTTTTATTTCAGAACTCCCGTATCATTTCTAAATTTTAATCATTGTTTTGTTTCTAAATGAATTCGCTTTGAATGCGCCGTCATTCTGTCCGTCTGTGTTGAATAGATATCATTTAATTCTGCGAAACAAATTCTTTTGTTTGCAATAATTTGCATAGTTGGATTACTGTCAAATTGTATTTGGGATTTATAATACTCTTTGTTTTACTTCCTTGTCTGATGTTTTCGCGGAATAAAAGCTTTCGCATTTAACAGTGAATTATCTTTTGCAATGATATATGTAGGATTAAACATTAAGTTTTGTATCCGGTGCTGCTTTTATATTGCACTGAATTTCTAGGCAACACAAAGTTCTGTATTAACATATTGTAGCTGATTATTTAACTGTGTTTTGGAGTTTCCAGAGTATTGGAACAAAGTATCGTGACGTTTAAAATAAAGCTTAAACGAAGTGCAGTGACACACATCATCGGGAAAACTAGCTCAGAGCAAATGCATAGTTTAAAATTAATGTTGTTTAGAAATGTCTCTTATTAAAATGAAAGAAATGTGAATATTTTTTCAAAATTTTGTTTGAATATGGCAAACCGCACCAAAGCTATCTTTCTCCTAAAGAAGGATGTTTTCGCGTGTGATTTCTAAAGAATTACGTTTAAAATTTTTAGATTATGTTAAAGCACTTCAGGGTTATTTACATAGAAAGGACGAAGCCTTAATGGAGTGCTTTTGGAAGGAAATTTTCTCACATTTCTCATTATGCGTGGAGAAAATCAAAGTTAGTCTTTGAACACAAGTTTTGAAGGTTTGCTCTTCCTGACCAAAATCCTTTGCGTGTGTGACGTCACTGATTGCTCAAAAGCAATTATTCTGTACTTCTTTTGTATCTCCGTTTCTCCAACCTTTTCAAATCAAGTGATGTCATTGAACTCGAGCGAAGGAAACCTTGTTTGTCTGCCTATCGTGAGGGAAATCATGAAAACCCTCAAACAATCAAACTGAGAGTTGCCGGATTTTGTACCCGAGTCTAACTACCTCTGTTCAGTAGTGTTTTCAACTCGTGGTCTGCGTGAAACAAAATTGATAATATAAAGAGTTAATATGTGCACCTCACGTGCTTTTGAGGGTGCAATATTTGGCATCATAAATATGCGTCCTTTCCCGATTCTTCCTGTGCTGTTTCTTTCGTTACCGTTTGCCATGAATTCGTTTTTTCCCCGATATATTCTCTTTCTGAAAAATCATTTTCTCTGACAGCGATCACTCCTTTTCATCAACTAAATAATTTAGGCGGGATTGGCTGTACTGATTGAACTTTCGATTTCTAAATCATTTTCATTCGACTGTTGATTTTACAAATTTCTTTTTAATTTCAAAATTTATTTTAATGTATATTTCGAGTATTAGCGATAAATGACCACTTTTATTTTCAATAAGTTCTGGTTTCGATGTCATCACATTTTAATGAGAAATGCATGAAAACATAAGAGGCTAATTTAGAATAAATTGATAGAAAACTGAATAGTATTTCATACTTTTGCCTTTTTCTAAAATTACTTCACAGCGATAGTTTGATAATGACCAGATTGTTAATTGTAACAAACATTGTGGAAATAGTGTATGCATAATTTCTTAACTTCTATTTAGAAGTATTGAAAAAGTTGAAATATCTTGCCTATTGTTATGGAAGAAATTCTGGTATGACTTAAATTTAACTGTGTAATTGTTATGTGCTGATTTGTTTTCTTTGAACCCCTAGGAGAACCAATCATCTTGGAAGGCCCACGAAATGCTACTGTCCTTTCCGGATCCAGCGTTCTCTTTAGATGTGCAGCATCTGGAGATCCGGAACCTGTTATATCGTGGCAGAAGAATGGTCGCAGCTTGCATCATGTCGGTCATGCCAATTACAAGGTGATAGAATCTGGAGCTTTGAAGTTGGACAAAGTAGGCCTTGCCGATGATGGCCTTTACCATTGCATCGCCAGCAACAATAAAGGGAAAGCATATTCTATGCAAGCCAGATTGCGAGTTGAAGGTGAGTGCTGTTAACTCAGTTTCGATGTAATTTGCTCTCTCTTCTTTAATTTTGAGTCTACTCTCGAATAGTCGCAAGTTTTCGAGAAATCCGGTTAGTTCATAACACTTACAATGACTAATTGTTGGAACTGAAGTTGTGTTTCTTAGCAGGCGTAGTCTCGTACTTTACAAGTTTTGTTAATCTTTTTTTATATACAATTTATCATGTAATTTAATAAAATTTATTGGAACTTTTTTAATTTTGAAAACGTTCGTATGACAGTTTTTTTATTTTAGATTAAAATCATATTTTTTGCCTTTAGTATAGACAAAGATTGGAAATGCATTGAGGCAAAAGCAGTTAAAAAGGCGTATTCCTAATTTTGGTTTGTGTCTATGTATAACCGGTCATCCGAAAATAATCAGTAATTTGAAAAAGCATAGACAATAGTAAAATGTGATCTTTCATAGTAAGTCAGTCATAGGATCGTTTTTAATAACGAAACGTTTTACTGCCAAAATACGTAAATTTTTCCTGAAAGATGATGATACAACGGTCCTGAAGAATTGAACTTTGGTGGCGAATACTGAGAATTATAGTCAAAGTGTAGCCTTACAAAGTCCAGTACGTGCAGGAATGAAACCAATCTGTTTCGAGAGATGTCATGAATTCGCAAACTGGGCTTTTCAACAGCTGAAAAGTGATGCAGACTAGCTGTAAAATGGCCTCTGAACTGACGAGGTGCGTTTGTCGTTTCGTGGAAGTGTACATGCACACAACTGCTGCTTTTGTGCGAGAGAGAACTCGCATGCTGTTGTGAAAACTTATTTTTATCAATCAAAGGTAACAGCATCATCCAGCTTTGAATTCATTTTGTTATTTATTATAGGGTTCTTTTCCATTACGGCCCACCAGCGGCCGAGCGGTAAAGTCGCTGAATGCTGGTAGTTCGGTCAGAAGTTCGAATCCCGCGAACGGGCTGGCTGCATTGACGTTTTGGTGGTTTTCCCCATGTGTAACGTGTATACGAGCCAGTTTCCCTTAGATAGTCCTCCACGAAGGCATCCCTCCCCTTAGGCAGATAGCCCTCGAGGCTTTGCCATAATTACACAAATCAAACCATCTTTTCCTTTACGTCCGCAGCGGGACATTTCAGATTTTTCCTATCGTGAGTTGAGTGTTATGCTGCATTAAGGGGCAGTGTCGTTCTTCTTTTACAAGAGACCCAAGTTGTCCATACTGTGGCATTAATACGACAAAACACAGATCCTGCCCCTTTACCTGCTACGATCGACATTTGACTATAATCGTGCCCTTTGTCGCACTTTCCCACACGGATTGCTATCAAGGTCTTCAGATTTTACACATCGTAACTGTTGGTTATGAGCTTACTTGAAACACAGTGGCTGTGTTGAAAGAAATTTTTCTGCATCATGTGAAAGGAATTACATCTGAATCATGTTCCATGTTGTTTAGAGGGGTATCTGATGTGCAGAAAGACATGCCACGTCTGACAGCAATTCTTAATGTATACTAAATGACTGAACTGAAAGTTTGCATTCTTAGCTGTGTTGCGAACCCTGCTCGCCACTGTACGAACTTCTGTCATCTCCGCGCATCAAACGCACAACCGTGGGATTCGGGGTCGCGTGAGTGGGTAATGACGCTGGCAGCTGTACCAATGGGCTTGGACTGGAATTTCGTAGAAACAATGGATGTTTTTAAGCGTAGAGTGTGAGTGCGGCAAGGGGACGCTCAAAATATACGGTGTACCGGAAGCCCTTTCGAAATAATAATGGTCGAGCAAAAGCGGAAAGAGTTCCTCGGACCACTTCCGGGGTGTTCTCCTTAAAAATTGGGGCAGGAACTTAGCAGCAATACCTCACATCACTTGTGATATTACAGAAGTACTGGTTTAGCTTCTCCCGTACTTTGACACAACTGAAGTATCAGTCGTAGTTTAAAATGTGACTAATCTGGCAATAAAAGTTTTCGTTGCTAAAACATTTCCATGTCTTTCTGTACATTTCTGGGAAAACCGCATCGTGTTACTATCTATCCTTTTCGAATTATTGAGTTTTCATTTTCTCTGTACCTTTTGGATTACTTCATATTCTGGTACATTCAGAATATATAAAATTTAATTGATACTAAGCGGCTACAACAGTTCAGTTTTATTATTATTATTATTTTTGTTTTGGTTGAGGATTTCATTTGAGTTGGTTAAATTCTGAAATATGAGTCTTGCTTTTAGATTGGAAACTTATTTCTTCTATTAACCCGATCAATACTGCGAAAAATTCTCCATACTGCTGAAAGCACTCTTTTCCATTTATGCAATTCGTTGCTTTTCATACCTGTACTAGAAATAGGCGGGGTGCAGGGCGTTTCCTTATCCGCCTTGTGAAACTCGCTTCAAAGCCCCTCCTTCAAGACAAAAACAACTACATGGCTTATAGAGAGAGAGCATCATGCAAGCAGGAATATTTTCTCTACTAGCTTCTTCCCTTGCAAAAACTTCGGGTAATTTCACTGCATCCGCTAAATCTTCAATCTGCTGGTTATTGACTTATTGAATTTCCTTTTTTTTAGACTTCTCTTTTTGTTTGTTGCACGCAAAATGTGTGATTGTATTTGCACGCAACGCTTCCTTGGAACTGATGCCTTCAACCTTCTCTAAATTAACTCACCTGGAAGTGCTTGGTATTGTTACTGATTTTCAATATAACGCCAGTTGCAAAACGAACATAGATGAGTTTAGCAAATTGCTTTACCGAATCTTTTTTTCTTTAAAAATTCTGATTAGGATTTCATTTTTCTTTATATAAAAATATTTCTGCTGTGATGCGTTTTTTAGCGTGTGCTTCATTTGCATTTTTGGATAAATATTTCTAAGTGTGGAAAAACTTGACCTGCATTTCCCATTAGACAGCCCTATGGAAATTATCTAGACGTCAGAAATTCCAAACATGTATCATTTTCTGTTACTGTATTTTTCTTAGCTCATTAGCTAGATCCTATAGACAGAGGTAACTCTTGATAGACAGATCCTATAGCAACAGATCCTGTTGAACAGGTTCTGTACGTTATCTGTGTAGTGACTCATTTAGCTTCTCTGGCAGAAATATCAGATCAAGTCAATGCATTTGATAGGGACAAAGACCACAGAGTTGCGCAGTTTTTGCCGTGACTATAGGTTTTGAGTACCTTATATGTGAAGTGTACAGCTTCGTCGCAGTTTGAAGTAGAATCCTGAGAAACGGATTCGAAGATCTCCCACCACTTTTCCCCTTCCACTAACTTCATCACAAGTCTTTAGGTTCTGCAATATTTGAATACTGAAAACTCTTGCAAACTCGTACTGTTTGTACTGTACACTTGCTAACGTCTATGCCTTCTCCTGTTTCAGACGATTCCCCTCCCATGCTATCAGGGGGCTTAGTTATCTAAACATCGCAAATCCCAAAAACATATAATTTTCATTTAGCAGAGTTTAATTAGCTTTTGATGCAGCTCTTAAAGACAGGGTATATAGTTTACGAGACAGCTCATGCAAGTTATTTTACATCACAAAGTTGGAAACTTATAAATTGTATTTATTTTCAATTTACTGGACATTGCTAGACAGGTGCTATAGCCACATATTAAACACGTCTTCTAAATTATGTAGACATCGCAAGTTCCGAACTTACAAAATAACCCATTTTCCCATTTACCACACTTTTAAGAATCTCTAGAAATTCATTTCAGACTAAAATAAGGGCTCCAGTTTCTTTCAGCATCTGGCTTATCAAAACGACTCCTTTTAACGTTTAGCATATCAATGGCTTTATTTCCAGTTGAACAAAAAGTAAAACAAGAATATTTACATTCACTAGATGGCTGTGAAAGCAGTATTTCAACCCTTAGAGCTTCTCATACCTGTACAGAGGAAGGGGGTAGACGTTTGGGAGAATTATAAAAGATTCTTTGCATAACAAAGAAAACCAGAATTAAGATAAGGCAAAGTCGTTTCTCTCAGCGGCCAGTACTAAAGTCATTGAGATACGGACTGGTTTTGTAAGACGTTCTGAAGTAATTCTGCTAAACCTGGTGTACTGTTGTACTGTTGTTCATCGTTAAATGTTGACTAATGTTTTTAAGGTAGGCTATTTTTTTATTTTTAGATTTGTGCATCTATAGAATTATGTTAGTTACTTTGACAATTTCTGCGCTGTAATGTACTTGAACTCTTGCCAGTTTGAAATAAAGACAAAGGAACAAAACTAGTAACGCAACAACTTTGAGTTTGGCATAGATTTAACCAAGATCTCAATCGATTTCGAGGGCAAACAGATTTCTTTGCAAGACTGATTGCAGATTCCTTTGCTCCTGACGAAGAAGGACCTGTACCTCGAAATCGATTGAGATCTTGATTTTAGGAAAAGCAAGTGAGGTATCATAGTAATCAATGCTAAAGATAATCGAATTTAATAATTCTCTCGAAAATTGTACCACGGCATTTGCTTTGCTTACGCAGCCTTCTATTTATTGTGCCGTTTGATAGTTCTCAAAACATTTAAATTTTGATTTTATAGGGAATTAAAATTCTGAGTAAAAGACATGTAAATGCAACTGGAATTGATATAAGAATTTTTAAAATGCAGCTCACAGAAATATTTTCTCCGCCGGCATTTCTTTCCCCAAATGATTTCTTTCGAATCGTCAAATCCTTCCAAAGATCTCGGAAGTTCTTATTTCAACACGACTCGTTTAAAATCCTTCTCTGTTGATTCTTCTGCTTTTTCACTAGGTTAGCTGTCTCTACTCAGTATTCATCCTCATCTGTTGATGCTCGCAGACATGTGTTTGCTCTGCAGTTTCACCTGATCGATGGGAATGAAAAAAATAACAAAATCTAACCGGTCACGTGCCAGCACAGAAGGAATCGTCAACGACGTTTGGAATATTCATGGACGCGACAGATTTCTCCTAGGATAAGAAGATGTAGGCGAAAATAAAATATCAAAACATATGCA